ACAAACACCATTAGAACAAATCATTCTATTCATTAAGAGAATGCAACTATATATCTATCCCAACCTCTTTGATGTTAAGAGATTATAAAGAAAGTTCAAAAAGAATTTTAAAGTAGCAAAAATATGCCAGGTTTTTATTTTTGTTTATTGTATTTTTACTCTTATACCTGAGACAGATCACATGAGTATAAAGATGGGATTAAAAATCAAAACCAGTTATTTTCAAAATGCTTTACAATTGTACCACAAAGCATCTTTTTTCCATAGAAACAATTGCTATTAGTTTCCTTAGAATCAGACTAAACCTGTCCTAAATACTTCAAAAGGTCAGGTCTAAGGAGAGTTCTAGTATCCTTCTAATCTTTTTAAAGTCTTTTATTATCACACCTACAAGTTTTTTTGCTAAAGCTTTGCTGATAAAAATTACACTATCTGTTCTGAAGGAGTATTTGAACATTACTAAAGTAAAAGTCTGAAAGTTACAATAATGGTTAATGATTATTTTAGGGCAGAGAATCTTATGAATGAACACTTCTTTTTCACCTATTGGTAAATGGACCCTCCAAAAATTAAGACATTTTCTATTTTGTTTTATTTATTAATGTATTTGGTACAGGGTCTCACACAGCTTGGACTCTATAGTGATCCTCCTGTTTTCAGCCTCCCCAGCACTGAAAACATTTTTTACTGCATTTTGGCACCACCAACCCACCAAGTTTAGTGTGCCCAGGGCCAGTGCAGCATGAGGTACTGGGGATTGAATCCTGGTTCAGGCACTTGCATAAGCAGGTGCTTAATCTGCTGAGCTATCTCATCAGCCCGACATTATCTGTTTTAAAACACCATAAACAAGTAATCTGCCAAGTAACAATTACTGAATACCATACAAGGTAGAAACTTATATAAGCTTGCTTATTAAATTCTGCCTTTCCTCATATACAGTACATGTTTTAGTACAACTTATCAATACTTTTATAGTACATATTGTCCCTGACCCTGATTTACGTACTTTACATATACTAATCCTGTTCTCATTACTCTATAAGGTAGGGGCTATTAATATTGTTTTGCAGATAAGTAAATTGAGGAATATACCATTGTCATAGGACACAATTGGGATTCACAGCCAGGGAGCTTTGTCCAAAAATAGTAGTGTAAAAAACCATTATGAAGAAACAGCTGTCAATAAAAATTGCAAACCTCAAGTTGTGCAGAGGTTGCTCTCACAAGGTATGCATGGGTGTACAAGGACCAAGTATGGCAGCAGAACTTCACAGGACACCCATGTCTGCATCCTCAGAAGTTGCTCTCACAAGGTGTGCACAAAGACATTCACCATCAAAAATATAAATACTGCTAAAAAAAATGGCAAAAATTAAGAACTGTGAAAACACCAAGAATTGGTTTGGATTAGTAATGGTAAATTTTATAGGCTATACTCTTTTGGTAAAATATTGGTATGTTTTGGAATTTTCTTTTCTTTTTGGTACCAGGGATTGAACTCACGACCCTGTGCTTGCCAGGCAGACGCTTATTCTACTGAGCTATCACCCCGGCCCCATTTTGGAAAATTTAGCAGTTTCAACTAAAACTGAATATATGTCTATACCTTATGACTTAATGATTCCCCTCTTAGGTATATAAGATGAATACATATATCCATCAGAAATTATAAAATATTCATAAATTATATTCATAATTCCATTCAGAATCAAAAATAACAAATTTGTCCATCTATCTATCCATCTATCAATCATATATAAATATCAGGCTGTCAGACAGGCTGGTCCCTCAGGTGATTCAATACAAAGGTGAAAACACATTATAACTGTGGCCTGGCATCTGTTGGCAGTCAGGCCTCAAGATAAAGACAAAATGATCAGCCTACATGTCTCTCCAAGAGATAAGCAAATTATATTAACATCTCTCCTCCCAGTGGGTGGCCAAAACTCTTTGATTTGTCTCTTCCTAGAAAGGCCCTTTTTCTCTCCAAGTACACTTGCTACCTGACCTGCTTCTCCATTATCAATATTACCTACATGGCCAACACCATAGTTTTTTCCCAAGTTGTGCCCACCTTAGTTTTGCTCTATAAAACTTCCTCTGTAAAATGGGGTCCATAGCAACTCACCTGGGATCCCTCCTGCATCTCAGAAGTTATTTTTTTTCCCCAATAAACTTTCCTACTCTTAACCTCTACTAGTCCCCAGAATTCCTTCTTTAATTTTGGGGAACATGAACTTAATTTCTTGGTACATTTAACAGTTTGGGTGTCACATTTATTCCCCCTATATTGTATCTATATACAAACATGGAATAGAATAGACTATAAGCTGTGGTAAATTGATACAATGGAATTCTATAAAAGAATGAAGTACTTACATGTACAACTTGAGTGAATTTCACAGTTTATACTTAAAAAATATGCATGTTAAAGTCATATTACTGAATTTTCTGGGACAATGAAAAAAACCACATGGATGCTGGAAATGGTCTATATCAAGACTCTATGTCACCTATTTGAGGGTCCATCTATGTAAAAAAGAAAAAAAAGCCGCCAAGCTCTTTACTTGAGAGTGACTTTATGTGCCATGTGTATACTCCCAATTACAAAAATGAAGTTCTCTGGAGCAATGCCTTCAAGCCAATGTTGTTTGTATCTTAGCATTAACAGAAAGTCTTTTCAGAAACCCTTTGAAAAGTTTACAAATGATTGTATTCAGAGATCAGATATTTATTCCCAAATTTCTTTTAAATCTCACAATAGCACTGAACTCAAAAATCCAAAAAAAAAAAAAAAACAAAAAACAAAAAACATCTTTATGCTTCAGATTAGCACATCTAAAAGGCTAACTCGTAATTCTTAAGCTTTTTGCTCATGGAGTCCCAAATGTTCTATCATAATTGAAAATTGGCTTAAGGATTTATTACTACCTTTGCTGGGTCTTTGGTGGGGAAATGACTGGAAAAAAAAAAACGAAAAAAAAAAAACCAGTACTTAGCAGAGGGGTAGCTAAACTTGTGAGAGGCTGGGGACATCGTCAGTACCACAAGTGCCTGCCTGGCAAGTGCAAGGTCCTGGGTTCGATCCCTGGTACAAAAAAAAAAAAAAAACAAAACAAAACAAAAAAAAAAAACCTTGCACCTAAAGTTCTGAGAAACATCAACTACCTTAAGAGAACAAGGACATATTTGTTACATCTCATGTTCTCTAAAGGCTGATGTTGCTATATCATTCATAATCAGAATACTAAATACTACACAGGTATGGTGCAGGTATTGTTAATCTTCCATTTGCATTTCATCATACAGTTAATATAACAAATGGAATATATTTTAAAACTGTTTAGTTTTATGTTAACAAAAGGAAAGGTGCGACAATGAATTAAAATGAACTCTGCTTAAACTCAAATTTTTAATTTAAACTGAAGTTAATGTTATTTTGAATTCCAGAAACGCATAACAAATATCAGTCGATTTCGACTAAAACAACAATCTAGGCAAAATCACCAGGCTCTAAGAGAAAAAAAAAAAAAAGAATTCAATATTTTAGGATTAAATGTACATGAGTAATATATTTTTGAAGAAAAATGTCCACTTGCCAAGGTACGGCTCTGAATCCAAAGAAAGTTGAAATGCTATCTTCCAGGTCATAGCTAGTTCAAACAAAGACTGAAACTGTGAACTACCTGAGAGCAAAAGTTTTAAGCATGACTCCTCCCCGCTACCTCGCAATCACTGTATACTGGAAGTTTGGTTTCAAAAGAAAAAAAAAAAACAGAGAAAAATAGCGGCCCCTAGCGTTCTCCACCTGTGCTTTCCGAAGCTGCCGTCCCCGTCCTCCCAGTCTGCTCCCACAGGTCCCGGGGCTCGGATCGCTCCCGCCCCGCCGCAGGAACCTGACGGCCGACAGGGGCCTCGACCCGCGGAAGCCGACAGCAGCGGGGGGCCTGCCCGGCTGGGGCGCCACTCCTCGGCCACGCCGCGAACGGGTTCCTCAGGGGAAAGGCCCGTTTTGTCCCGACTCCGAAACCGCTCACCTCCAAGTGCCGCAAGAGCTGAGTGGCGTTCGCCTCGGACTTAACGGCTTTGTACTGACTGATGGTTAACAGCAGAGACTTCAGACAGGCGGTGGAGTCCATCGGGGCAGGCGCCCGCCCCGCCCAGGGACCACTAGCACCCGGCCCGCCCCGGCCTCCAGCTCTCGCCGCGCTTTTTTTGATTTTTCAGTCCCACCCCTTCCACCGCGCCTTCCAGTTCCGGTTCCGGTTGGGATCCGGAAGTTTCCAGAGGGTTTAGGGGAGCCTTCCAAGTGACGCGCGCGGCGTGGCCGACGTCGTGGGGCTCTGCGGGTCCGCGCAGTGGGCCGAGAGCGTCCCTCCTTTCCCCGCAGCCCGAGAGGCCGCGAGGTTTCAGCTTGAGCTGCGCGAAGTCTCGCGAGAATCGCGATTGCGGTTTAGCCTGTTAAGGGTGGTTGGGGCTTCAGGAATTCGGACTTCACCGTGGGCTCTGATTCTGTGTCGTCCTTGGCCCTCACACCGAGGGGCTGGTTTTTCTTTGTGCGTCATCCTTTGCCAGAGAAATGGGCGCTTCCCCTTAATCTAGTCGCGGAATCTCGGCCCGCGCGTTGAGGTGGCATGGGCGGGGCCTCTCTGTGCTGCCCGCGCCCCTGGGGCCCGCGAATGGGCGTTTCTTGAAGTGCACCTGAGGTAACGTGGATTCCGCGGCGAGCGGGTGCCGCCCCTAGCGAGGCGCATTGCGGGAGAGGCTCCCCGGCGACCCCGGGCCAGGTACGGCTGGAGGGCGTCCTCGCTGGCGCCAGAGCGCGCGGACGCGTCAGGTGGGCCGGAGCCGGCCGCAGTTGCCTTTGTAGGTGATGAAGCGGCGGTGCGTGGACGCCTAATGGATGGTGAAGAATAAAGGTTTTACATACCAGGTTATAGGGGTGTGTGAACTGTAGCGCGCAACTCCGTGTACCTAAGTCATTTACAAATCATATGTTTGTCAATTCTGGAAACGTGATTTTTGCATCACTACTTGTTAAAGGCTGGGTTTGTTAAAATCAGTTTAAAATTAAAAGCTGAAAATAACTTTGCCAGTTTAAACGATTATGTACAATTTTGGGGATAATGTATTCATCGACCGATTTATGCAGTATTAACTCAAAATGCACTAACACTGCATCTAAACAAAAAGACCCAGTATTCTCTCTAGCAAAGGAACGGTTAAAAAGGGAAATGTAAACAGCTCGCGTAAATGAGCAGAATCATCAATGATACCGAGTGCAGCTGATTGTAACTCTTGGGAAGTTCCAGGTGCTTCAGTCTCTGGAAGTAAACTTAAGTGTAATATTTTTCACAGAACCTTCATTCCATGAATAATTGATTGAGATTACACAAAGTGTTGGGGTGATACAAAGTTGTAGGTACTAGAGAGTCAGTGAACAAAACAAATCTTACTTGGTATAGCACGCGCTAGTGGGAAAGCTATAAATTATAAGTAAATAAAATGATATGGAGAAAAAATAGTTCTAAAAGTAGTAATCAAGAGAAACGACGTCAGCATAGGCCTTCTCAGAGTAACACTTGAAGAAATACTCTGAGGAGTTAAAATAGCAGTACTCTGGGGGAAAGGTTTTTGGAAAGAATAGCAAGGACAGAGACTAAAAGTGGGAGTAAGAATATGCCAGAAACAGCAAGGAGTCACGGCTATGAGAGCAATAAAAAGAGGCAGAGCTGAGGTGTGACAGGCCCCCCCACACACACCCTATAGGATCTCAGCATTCTAGAAAGCGGAGGCAGGAGCATCACAAGCCCAGATCTGGCATGTTAGCTCATTTTTAAATCAAAAGGGGGCCAGGGAATGTAGTGCAACGTGGAAGACCATGGATTCCCCAGTACTACAAAAGGAAACAGCTGTTTTCTGACAGAATTAAACTATCTCTTAATTACAGTCATTGATAAATTTAACAGTGTTCAACTTTCCAGATGTAAGTGCAGCATCATTTTGTTTTGAACAACTAGCTCAAAATGAGCTGTGCCATCTTTCTTTGGAATCTTGCATTTTACTTTAAGCAGTCAAAAATTTTGCATTCATTAGGTTTTTAAAATTTGTTTTTGCTATTTTAGGGAGGGGTCTACAGTGTTCAGGGCCTACTACTAGATCGGACTTGTAGTGATCAGCCTGTTTACAGCCTCCCAAGAGCTGGGATTACAGACACACACCACCACACCCAATCTCAATTGCTGTCTCACCGCACTCTGGGGTGAGTGAATCAGGATAGGCCGGTGTTAATCATTTTAATATCAATGTCATTCATAAAAATTTTTCACATAAAATTGCTGTATAGTAAAATGTATCATATGTAGCTGTCAGAAGCTCTGGCTTCTTTAGTCAATGATACTTGTATATCCTAATTAGAGGAACAGGAAGCCATAATAAAGTTCCCCAAAAAGGGGCAGAGACATTGGAGATGAAACTAAAGCCAGATCACTGAAGGTTTTATTAGCTTTGTGCTGGAGTGTGGTGCTGATCTGTTTTTAAACTGGAGCCTGTTGGATCTAGTTTGTGACTAGACTGGTTACTTTTGAGAAAGATAAGCCTAGAACTAGGAAGACTCAAATTTTTGGAGACTGTAAAGCATAACTAGGAGAATTAAGTAGTTTGAAAAGGGATGAAGAATTGTGAGAAAGTGTATGAGGTCAGATGAGTAGCCCTTGCTGAAGAGGGAGGTAAGGGATGAATCTAGAGATTTTGCATTTCTAGTTTGTCTGGTTAGGAAAAGACACTGAGATAGTTGATACTACAGTGTATTTTATGTTCAACAAAATTTTATGTAGTTTTCATAATTTTCTACCATTCTCATTAAGTTTGTTCCTAGATATGATACACTTTTTATTACATTATTGCAGTAAGGCTTTTCTGTTAGATTTTGTTACTCTTAAGATACTGACTTTTGGTACTTTTGTTGTGTTTTTTGAGACAGGGTCTCATTGTGTAGTTCATGCTGGGCTTAAACTCATGTAGAACAGGCTGGCCTCAAACTCCCAATGATCCTCCTGCCCCAGCCACCCCAGTGCTGGGATTATGGGCATGCACTGCCACATCCCACTATTTTCATTTTAACCACTGCTGAAAAGTATTATATGTGCACATATACTTTATTTTCCCCTTTATGATAATATAGTAAAATGTTTTTTGTTACTGTTCTTGGGATGATGATAAAGATAGTTTACACTACTGATAGAGTCTCTTTTCTGTCTTTGCTGTTTAATCTTTATAACAACCCTCCGATGTAGATATCATTATGATGGCCATTTCACAAATAAAATTGTAGCAGAAAGGTAAAATAACTTGCTGATTGTCACACAGGCAGTAGTAATAAGCCCTGTGTCTGGTAGCTGCAGGCTTTGGCTTGCCAATACTTTATTCAAGATTTTATACCTCTAAAAAAAAAAAAAAAAGATTTTATACCTCTGTTCTTAAGAATTTTCAGTAATTTCCTCTTTATTCTGATTTGAAATTTGGGTTATATGTTACTTTTGAAAAAATGAATTTTGAATGTTTGTATTTTTAACCGTATAAAATAATGAGAATCAGGAATTATTTAATTTAGTAGGCTGAATGAGGCTGGTTTATAAAATTAACCTTAAAGCTTAAAATTTGACATGACAACTGTACTCTAGATTTAAAAATTTTATTAATATAAAGTGGTATGTAGTATTCTATTCTCTTAATCCCTTTGTATTTTAAATTTAGTTTTCACTCTGAAGTTATCTTTTTTTCTCTTTCTTTCTTTCTTTCTTTCTTTCTTTTTTTTTTTTTTTTTTGCTGAACCGGAATTGAACTCAGGCCCTTGCACTTGCCTGGCAAACGCTTATTCTACTGAGCTATCTCCCTGGCCCCCTTTTTCTTTCTTTTTTTAAAATTTATTTTATTGTTGTTGATACAGGGTCTTCCTGCGCAGTTTGGACTAGTAGTGATCTGCCTGTCTCAGCCTCCCCAGTGCTGGGATTACACGCATGTATGTGCCACTACACCTGGTTCTGGTGCCAGCACGGCATGTGATACCAGGGATTGAACTCTAGACCTTACCCTTGCCAGGCAGGCACTTAGACCACCAAGCTATGGCCCTGTCCCTTTTCTTTTTTTCTTAATTGGGCCGTCTGGGGACTTAACTCACCTTTTCAAGAACCAGCTTGCATTTGCATTTTGTTAATTTTTGTTTTTCTTTGATTTCAGAATGACTAATTTTATTTTTGCCTGTATTCCATATGTATAGTTTTTCTTTGTTTTCCTTCTACTTTTGGAGAATATGAAAGTTTATTACATTTGTATGCTGTATTTTTTGTTAAAAATATATATTTTATGTCCAGAAGTTTTAAAAGACAGTAGCTAAAGTGAGAATCTGCATTTCTTAAAAAATATGTACAATCATTTAACCAGTCAGGTGAATAATTTTTAAAATGCTAATATTCTTTCATCAAATACTTACTGAATGCCAAAGAGGTTAGAGTCTTTTGGGAAACTATAGTAGGTGCTATTAAGAGAAATATAAAATGGTGTAGGAACACATGTTTAGTTTAAAATACTAACATTTCTTTTTCAAGAATTGACATAAAATCTCTGTTTTTATTTTTACTTTTTGGTTGTTTTTACTATGTAGTTCAATCTGGCCTTGAATCTACTATGTAGCCCAGGCTGACCTTTAGTTTATGGTGATTGTCCTGCCTTAGCCTCTCTGGTGCTTGGATTACAGGCATGTGCCACCATGGCCAGCTGTAATTTTCATATCTATAGGATGAGTATATATTTGGGGTATTTATAATATATAGTTTAGGAAAGAGACTTAAAAGGAAATAAGCATTTGATTAGAATTTTACAATTTTGTGGCTGTCTAGTAATTTTATTTCTTGGGAGAAAAGACTTAAAACATTGTCTTCCATACTAAGTAGTAAAATGAAAAATTTTAATGTTGTATGTTCTTGGATCTTAAATCATGTTAAAGGAATCAGGTTGCATGAAGACATTAATTATAATTATACAGACCTGCAGAGTTTATAGAATATGTTGTAATACGAGAATTATTCTAAGATTATAAAGGGTTGATTGTTCTCTCATCTATCATATATTTAATGAATACTTGAGTGATAGATACATTAC